GACAGAGGAGCCTGGTGGGCTACAGTCCACGGGGTTGCAGAGTCGGACACGACTGAACACCACACACCACGCCCCCACCCCCGTCTACTTCTATTCCTGATCAGACTCTTGGCCTCTGCAGGGACTGCTTTTGGAACCTCATCCTCAGGTTCCTCAGGTCTGCCTTGGAGGTGTTGCTGGTGCCCGCTTGGGAACCCGGATGCCTCTGCTTCGCAGCGCTCTCCTGGCAGGGCACAGGGAAGCAGCTGGTGGCCATGCACTTGGTATGCTCCTGGACTGGCTCCCATGTGATTACTACGTCTTCTCCATGTCACCTTCAGTGTGGAAGCTTCCTCAGCCCTTCCTCTAAGCTGAGGTTCACCTCTCTGAAAGAGGAGCTTGGGCATTGCTGAACTATGTTGATCTCTGCAAAAGCAAGATGCATTTTCTCCTGAGGTCTGTGGCAGTCAGCTCCCAAATGAAGCTTATTTAATAAAGGAATTAGTTCTAATTGAATTCTCAAGATGGAATTATGGATTCATTTGAAGGGGAGTAAAAGGAGCAGTGGGCTTGAAGGTCAAGGCGAAGCTGTTTTCTGAGCATCCATGATGCACACTCTGAAAAACAGTGTTTCCAGAATGGCATTGTCGTTGTCCAGAGTTCTGGCTTCTTACACATATTCTGCGAGGGCTGCGTTCCATCACAGATGCAGGTGTAGGCCATGGCTTCTTATGTCTTTGCTTTCCATTCCTGGAGTAGTGCCCCCCACCCCCAGCTGACGCCTTGGAGTGGTGTCAGATTTCTAATTGTAGGAGGCGCTAGCTGTTTAACATCTCCTAGCCTGTGCCTTCCTCCTGGGAATCACTTACCTGATCTTTGCTCTTAGCCCACGTGCATCCAGTGAAGGTGAGTCCACCCTGGGCTCACCCAACCAGTCCCTCTGGCCCTGGTGATTGGTCCCAATGAACCTATGATCCAGGCCAGGCCAGTGAAACCAGGGACTCAGTTCTGGCACTTTTGTTGAGCTGATGGACCTGCTGCCTTCAGCTCACGGTCACATGTGGCCACCTGTGCGTCAGGCAGACCTGAGAGACAGCAGGAGGAGGCCGGGCCTTGTTCCTTCTGTGCTCTGGAGCCAGCTGTGGCCAGATCCAGCCCTCTGTATTCTGTCTTGGCTTGAACCAGTTTGGATTGCCATATTTGGTCAACGTGAAACACTTCTACTTTCTAAAAATCAGGTGGGTCCACTTCTACGTGGAACCTGATGCTTCAGGTACAGGTGCTGTGGAGGATGGATTTCCTTAGTGTCTTGTGTATATCACATCATTTGAGTGGTCCAAGGGAGTCCTAAACTGGGCCTACTGCCGCTATGCATATATGGGACTTCCTGCCACCAGCCATGGGGAGAGGTCTCAGAATTGCAGGCTTAGGCCAGTAAAAACAAGCCTGAGGTTTGTAGTCAGGCTGTCATAGCCTAACATGTGACCTATCTGTGTCTCACAGTCTCTCTTGGTAAATAGGGAGAGTGGTCCTTGGCAGATTTGTTTTCTCTCTAGTCTTCAGCCTTCATTGCTTTGGTACCTGTCCTTCCCTCCTTTATCCTTCCCATCTTCTGGGATCTTCATCCAGCAGTTCTCTTTTCTTCCATCACTCTGGCTGTACCTGTTGATTCCCTTTTCCTCCTGTGCACAGATGGCACGACCAAGGCCTCTCCCCAGCCTTGGTTGTGCCATGCTCTAGCTACTAATCTCTTTCCCTTGTCAGCTATACCACTTCCTCTCATCTGATTCACTCACGCCCATCTCAGTCTTCTCTGATAAAGGGAACCAGTTTGCCATATTGGAACTGGTGGAACCAGCGTACACAAAACCACAGCACAGCACAGTCAAGGCACTGTCAAGGCACACACACACAAGACACGTACACAGAAGCACAGTCAAGGCACGAGTGGCTTTGTGTCTGCCTGTGTATGGGTCTCTGGGGCGCTGGACACTTGGATCCCCTCGTGAAACCCTCCAAGCCCTGAGTTCCACGACCTCATTCTCTGATGAATTTTCTTCTACTTCTCTCCTGCTTACACTTCTCTACCTCATGGTCTCCTTTTTGTTCCCGTCTCTGTGGGTTTTGCCTTTAAGATACAGTTCTTCCTCCACTATGGACTCTCTCCCGTGGCACTCTTGGTTTTAGTTACTAGCTCTGTGCACTTGCTCCTGGATATTTTACTTTAGTCACAGTCTCTCCTGTCAGTTACAACTGTTGGGTAGATATCTGCAGTTAGATATTCTACAGGAAACCTCAATTTCAAAGTGGCCAAAATGGACTTCTGCCTCTGCCCATGACAGAGAAAAAGGACTGGATTTATCACAAACAAAAAAAAGAAAATACATGTAGTAACTGCCGTCAGCCATCGAATGAGAAGCAGCACAGGGCAGTGATCTAGGAGAGAAGGAAGACCAGTGAGGCGAGGCTGGGACGCCTGTGCTTCCTGCCAGGAGCAAGTCCAGGGAGAGGGGTCCACACAGAGCCCAGTGGTTTCCCTGAAGCGAAAGACTGAGTGGGAGATTCAGTGAGGTAAAGCCGCTAAAGTTTACAGGCAGAAGAATACCAGAGAAGAGATGGAGAGAGCATGATAGACAGCCCTGGAAGTCTGCAGATTCTACTGAAGTCTTGAGCAGTGTGTCAGTGTGAGGAACGTACTTGAGGCCACTGGAAGAACCACCAGAAGAAGCAGGTAGAACAGTCTTGGAATCGATATAGGCCTGTGTCCCCAGTGGCCAGAGTGGAAAAGGACTCTGTATCCCACAACATAGGTGGAATGAACACATTTCTTGAAAGATACAAATTACCAAAGCTCACTCAAGAAAAAAAAGTGGGTAACCTGAAGAGCCTAGTATCTATTGAATAAGTTTACAGTTAAAAACCTCCCCACAAAATAAACCTCTGTCCCTGATGGCTTTAGTGGGGTATTCTATTAATACCAATCATTTAAGGAAGAAATAATACCAATTATGTATGTCCAAACTCTTCTAGAAAATTAAGATGAGGGGACACTTCCCAATTCAATCTATTCTTTAATTTCAAACCCAGAAAAAGACAATACAAGGGGACTGCAAATTATGATTTCTCATGAACATAGATTAAAAAATTCTTAACAAAATTTTAGCAAATTGGATCCTTTATATTTAGCAAAATATAAAGAATACATCATGACCAAGTGGAGCTTATCTAAGGATTGCAAAGCAATCTAACATTTGAAAATAAACCAATGTGACTGTCCTTTAATAGCCTAAAAATGAAAGTCACATGATCATCTCAATAGATATAAAAATAATTTGATAAAATGAAACATCCATACATGATAAAAAATCTTCAGTCATAGATGTCATTTTCTCAACCTGATAATGGGTTTCTATGAAAATGCTTCTGCTAACATAAAGACAAAGTGCTTTCCCTGTAAGATCATTAACAAGGCAAGGATATCTATTCTTATTATTTCTACCCACTTTTACTCATTTTTATTCACTTCTAACAAGTACATTGTATTTCTATATACTAGCAATAATCATAATTTAAAATAGTATAATTGGCATTAGCATTAAAATTTTGAAACATCTAGAGATAAGTTTGGGGGAAAAAAGCACAAATCCTGTAAACCAAAACCTACAAAACACTGCTGAGAGAAATTAAGAGACCCACATAAATGAGGAGAGAAATATGTTCGTGGATCAGAAGACTCAGTATGGTTAAATTTTTTTTTAAGGTTGATTGGTTTATTTTTGGCTGTGCTGGGTCTTGCTGCTGCCTGCGGCCTCTCTCCAGTTGCGGTGAGCAGGGGCTGCTCTATAG